TTTTTTTTTTCGCGTGCGTGGGGGGAGGGCGCTTTTCCCAGGGGATGCTGGAGGCACATGTGGGGCACCGCGCCTTGGTTTTCTAACTCTGACATGTTCATCCACAGTTCCTGAGATGGGTGGCAAGGGCTGCTCCTGCACCGTTTTGGGGCTGGGTAAAACTGTTTTCACAGAGGCTATTTCCACACGTAGGGACAAGGTTTGCAGAAGTGTGGTAAGCGCAGCCAGGAGTATGTTCTCTCATTTGAGCCATGGTTGTGAGAAAGGGTAGATGACATAGCTAAATTTTGGGTAGGCAGGATGCGGTAGGTATTATGGGAACCTTCACCTAGGGACGCAAGGATTGAAAATCTTAGGGCCAAAGATGGCCCAGCTAGTTTCCAAATCAGGTTGTCTCTATGGGCCAGAGGGATTTGAGCCGCATCTGTGAGGGAATGGCGTTGGGAGTTTTGTGGAATGCTTGGTGATGTTCCTTTCCTTTTGTTTATCAGCCATGTGTTTTGTAAGCTTTGTGAAGGCTTTTCAGTGCCTTCCAATTGAGTTAAAACTGCTTTTTCTTCCAGCTTTTGATGACTGCAGTCAAATGGTACCATATTCGAGCAGCTGAAACGTTTTTGGTCTTTGTAGCTTTTTCTTTTCTGTGGTGAGACACCAAGCCTACCAGTTGCCTGGTCCTCGGAGCACTGCCAAGACAAGTTACTCCTGAAGGCAGGAGGAAATGGGGTATGATGTCATTTGTACATCAGTGAGAAACAAAAGGGTGGTCGTTTAATACTTGTTGCCAGGAGCTGAATTGGTCTCAATTTTCTTTGAATAACGCAGTAGAAATATTAATCTTCAAGAAAATTCTTGGGATGTTTTAAATAAATTGTCTAACAGTGATCTTCTTGGGGCTAAGGATTTGGAAAGGTTTGAGATTTCATTGAACTTGGTGTATATTCAATGAAAATATGATTTGTCCTCAAGAATATTATGCTATCATGAGCTCAGTGAGTGAGTATTGTGACCACTCTGCTTTTGAGGTAAATTCCTAAAAGATGCTCCCTTGAACAGCATAGGCCGCTGCTGCTTGTGTGTGGAGACTGAGTTTGGTGCTTGTTATGTGGCTTCGAATCTAGTGTTTGGAGCACTGCCTTAAGAGAGATGTGTTTCCATCTTAAGAAAGTCTTAGTTTGGTAAGTAATAGCTTGTAGAATGTGAATATACAGCCATTTCTGGAAGCCTTGTTAATATCACTGTAGTCATGCTAGACTTAGACTTTGCTTAGACTTTACTGGAAGCCGTAGCTGTTTGTAGAGAAGCCTGTTTAAAAAAAATAGTTATTTCACTGTACATTTGCAACTTCTGTGCTGTTGCAGCCCTTGCTCCATGGCCAAGGTTTGTTATGCACCTTCTGTAGGCATTTCTTCCCCACATCCTGAAGTCTGGAAAGTGAAACAGACCACAAGGAGGAGGGAAAAGATGATGCAGTTCAGAAGACCGATTCCTTTTTGGTTTGGTCTTGCATGAATGAGTGCTGCAGGTCAATAAAATGAAGGAATATAAATTGGAGAAGTGGGTATTTTGTATGGAATTTGCTTTGGCCAGATGTCTTAGGTTACTGAAAGTGCAAGTCTCTCATTTCAGTGTTTCACCTCTATTAACAATGGGAATGACATAAGTGGAGAGCGGGTGGAGAATATAATGTAATTGCCGTATAATGATAGCCTGCACAGGCTTAGATGAAGAAATAGAAAGAAAAAGGTGGCTCTTGCAGAGAGGTAAACCCTTGCATAATATGTTGGAGCTGTGGATGAAGAAGAAATATTCTTCCCTGTTAAAGAGGGGAGCATCTTTGGAGGCTGTAGATGTTAATGGAGGGTTTTGTGGAGGAAAAAAAAAAAAAAAACCTCCGCTCTGAAAATGCACCACCTTTCCGCTAGTTGGGGATGGATGTTGGACTTGTAGTGACGAGACTGCCAGTGGTGTTTTACTGGTAGAACCAGTTGTTCATCTTCTATAACAATTTTTTTTCACTCATCTTCTTGTCTTAGTGTGTAGGTCTCTCTCTCTCTCTCTCTTTTTTTTTTTTCCTCCCTCCTCTTCTCCTTTTTTTTTCTCCCCCGCCCCCTCCCCTTTTTTTTTTCTTTTTCTTTTTTTCTTTCTTTCAGGCCCTGGTTTCACAAAACCTTATAGGAATTTCCTATGGGTGAAGTTGGGTCCAAAAAGAAGAGAGGAAATTTGTGCGGTGAGGTGGAAGGCAAAAATGTTTTGTATGTGTTTGTGAAATGAAAATGGGATTAACAGAAGTCTTAAAAAATGCATAAAGAGCAGATGATGGAGTCCTAATAAAAATCAGATGAAGACAGCTTTTATGTCTATGAAGAACAGGCTAACAGAAATAGACTGTTTTTATTACAAATACCTCAGCCATTACATAACATTCTAACTAAATGGTGACGAATTAGTTTTATACAGATTGCAAACACATATAAAGGGAGAAGCTTGGTATCATTCATACTGTTTGTATAGATATACACCATCTTGATTAACAGTGAGATTATAGTAAGAACACACATGTATGTCTACTATCTGAAGTATAATGATGAAAATTAACAGATTTTTTTTCCCTTTTTTTTTTAAAAAAAAAAGGAAAAAACAAGATATATATATATACACTGTCTTTTCAGGGTCTTTTCAGGGTTAGCAGTCAAAACACTGCTCACAAGAAATATTGCACTTTATATTTGAGTTTGTCAAACACAAGTTCTGTCTGAAGAACAATGGAATCACCCAGGTTTGGGTAACTAGAGAAAAGGGCTCTGCTAAGTAACTTTGATTCAGAGTAAAACTGACTCCTAGATGAAAGGGCTGCTTTACTCATTGTTTAGATAGTTGAGATGTAAAATATAACTGGACATACTCTGATGTGCTTAATAGTTTTCTACAGTGAAACCAGTGGTGGCTCGGTTGGCCATTCTTGGCACACTGCTTGCTTATGCTAGCAGATCAAGCCTTCCCTGCTTAGAAGAGCATACTTTTTCAGGCTGTCCTAATTAAATTATGTAAACAGCAACTGGTTGCTTTAAGTTTGTTTTTTTTTTTTTTTTTTTAGTATGTGTCCTTAATGTTTCTAGATTTTAGAAGTCATAAACTCTAGGGGGAAAAGAACTGCAGATTTGTCTGTTAAAACTATGCAGGAAGAACAGTTAGACTAAAGTGTTATTTGTTAAAGAAAGATTTGTGAGCTATCTTTTAGTCTTTATTCTTCATATTAAATCTTCAGCAAAGGTGGATTTGCAGAAACATCTTCAGTTTTCCAGAAGAATAAATTCTTAATCAAAAAGTTATTGATTTTTTTTCTCTCAGTTTACGACTTGATATGCTTCAGGACTTGCATCTTTCTCTTTTTTGAAAAAAGCGCATACTTTATTGAACTGCTTGGCTCTCTAGATCAAAGTTTTGATGTTTTCATTTTGTAAAAATAAATGGTAGTGTTTACAGGGTTTGTTTTATAATAGTATGTTTAGGACAGTCTGTACTTTCTATATAGATATATCTAAATGCATCAGTGTACAGCAAACGTTCTAGAGAGATGGAGCAATAATAAATCTTCTGTCAATATGAATAAACAATTTATGTGCTCTAGTAGGAGAAATTTGCCTCTTCATGCTTGTTATATAGTTAATTTGCAGAAGTTGCCTTGATTAAGGGGTTTTTTTTTTTTCA